AGGAGCAGACGGCTGAGTTTATTAAACTCCACCGAGACAGCGGTGACGCTAATCAGAAGGCTAGACCGTCCAATTTCCCCAGCCGTTTACTTCCGGCCTACCCGACCTTCTGAGGACCCGGCCCACGTAGACTGCGAAGGCCAGGTCCTCAGGAGGATGCAGCCCATGAATTTGGACACGACCTAAATACACACAATGGTGATTAGGGTAAGTGGAAACACATGGGGAAACAGCTGACATAACGAGTCAAAGGAAGCAAAGTCAACAACACTGACATAGGACACAGATTTCAAAATAAAACAGAAAACACGAGGCACAGACATGATGACACAAACTTGACAACATAAGACACATGAAACACAAAGGGTGAGGGAAACTTCAATACAGGGGTAGAAAACATAAAGGGAAGCTAATAAACAAATGAAGTTAGCTAACCTAAAAAATGTAAACATAAACATCCAAATAAACTAAAACTGAAAACGGTGGGTCAACAGACCCAGGAACGTGACACTCTGTTTCATCTGGTAGTGTATTTTGCACTTTGCTATCGCATCCTTGTGTAATTTTAATTTTATTACATACTATTGTATTAATGAGAAGCACTTTGGTGTACCTCTGGTCTATAAATGTGCTATATAAATAAAGCTGTATTGTATTGTACATTTCATTCAATACAGTGATGTACTGACAGATCCAGGATCATTTCAAATCATCAGCAGTTTGATCCATGCATGGATTGAAGTGTATTTGTGAAAATGTTGGACTGTTCCTTTATCACTGTCTAACAGTATGTTTATGAGAGCCATGTAATGTCCATGTGTGCATGCTGACTGTGCTGCTCTGACCCCCCTCCTCCTTTCAGGGTGGAGCCTGCTGGAGTCCGATGGTTGAGACCAGGTCTGAGGAAGTGTAAGTGTGTTTTTAATGGGATTCATGAAAACAAAGCAGCACACATTAAACCATCTTCATCATTCACATCTCTGATGTCAGGAGTCATCATCAAAGTGTCAATCAATGAACAGATGATGGATCAATAACTGTAGCTGGATTGTGTTTGTTCTCTCCATCAGATTCCTGTCAATTCACAATCAACACAAACACAGTGAACACAAGCCTCCAGCTGTCTGACAACAACAGGAAGGTGACACATGTGGAGGAGGTTCAGTCATATCCTGATCATCCAGACAGATTTGATGTTAGTCCTCAGCTGCTGTGTAAAAATGGTCTGACTGGTCGCTGTTACTGGGAGGTCGAGTGGAGAGGAATCATTTATATATCAGTGAGTTACAGAAGAATCAGAAGGAAAGGAGGCAGTGATGACTGTGTGTTTGGATGGAATGATCAGTCCTGGAGTCTGTACTGCTCTGAGAGATTTGGTTACTATGTCTGGCACAAAAGCAGAGAAATATGGATCTCCTCCTCATCATCCTCCTCCTCCTCCTCTGTCTCTAATAGAGTAGCAGTGTATGTGGACTGTCCTGCTGGCACTCTGTCCTTCTACAGAGTCTGCTCTGACACTCTGATCCACCTCCACACCTTCAACACCACATTCACTCAAACTCTTTATCCTGGATTTAGACTCTGGTATCCTGATTCATCAGTGTCCCTGTGCTGAGTGGAGTGTAAAGAATGTCCTCCCGTTAGAGAAACACTCTGACTGTTGAACAGAAAGTTCAGTCTGTACATGTCTGTCTCTTTCATTCAGAAACACATTTTCAGATTCATGGATTCAATCAGTTGATGTTTGAAACTGTTCTAAATGATTCCTTGTAAACTTCTTCCTCTTCAGTCCTTTAAAGATGGAAACTCCCATTATTCCAGGATCCACATGTTGTTTTTCTGTCTTTTCCCACTCAAAGCTTCACAGTGAATCTCAGTATGTTGTGTTTCTCTGAAGCTCAGTTCACAACCAGCTCCTCTGCATTTTCAACAAGTCTGAGCTCCTTAAAATGAATCTAAATGTTTGATTTTCTCTTTCTTAAACAGATTTTTTTAAACCTGCTCTTAATGTTTCACTTATTTTTGGTAAATTGTGACCATTAGAGCACATTTGTCTTTTTTATCATAGTTTATATGGTTAATGAAGTAAAACGAAGTATACTAAAACTAAAACTTCCGCTAGTGTTTGTCAGGTTTATATTGTTGATTGTCATTTATGCTTAGAAATATTTACTCATATATGCTTAGAATCTATAGAGCCTACACACTCTCTTGCTCTTGACAAAGGCGGTCGCACTTTTCTCCTCTCCTCCTCCTCCTCTCCCTTAGCTTCCCTGCTTAGCCTCTTGTGTCTTTTCTAGTCTCGTGTTTTTTGTATTACTTTTCCCTGGAACACTCTCTCACAGTCTGTTCTCTAAAACCTAAAAGAGGAATTATGGATTTGATCAATCTGGTCCCTGAATGCAATTGACACCCTTTTCTCAATGAGAAGTCTGGGCTCGGGTGAGCCTGAGTGCTGAAGATATCTACCTATTCAGAACCATGATAACAGGGTCCTTGCTGATCGAAGCTGGCTTGGCCCTGACTTATCGAAGAATTAAGAAACCGGAAACGGCTGTTTAAACGCCCACAAGGCTGCCCGCTGGGATTGAAACAATGGAACGAGGCATGAGTTTCTCAAAATGGGCTCATTGAGTGCAGCACGGATAAGATCTTGGAGAAGCTTACGGCTGCCGTGAATACTCAGAATAAGACCTCTGAGCGCAAACTGGATCACATCTTGGAGAAGCTCACTGCGGTCGTGAGTTCTCAGAATCGGCTCTTTGAGCACAAGAATGACAACATCAAGTAGCGTGAGTTTGATAAAATCATGGAGAAGCTCACGGCTCTCCAACGGGAGATTGAGTGGAAGGCACGCCACTGCAACCCCCTCTGGACTCTGCTCCGTGGCTGCTGGGTGACCTCTCGTTTGGGGCTCTGCTCAGCTCTTCCCAGGAGGGTGGCACCTCCTTGGGTGCTCATACTCTGGAGCCTCTGGATTTCTGGGGCCTGGATCTCCTCCATACTCGCTTCATGCCCTGGGGGACGGGGCTATGGCTCCCCACACTCCCTAGCAGATCGTTACATAGAGAAACCTTTGGAATACAAGCATGCTGATCCACACAGGTGTACACACAGGTGTACACACGGGTGTTCACAGACGCGGACTACACCTTTCTTGGCTGCTGCCTCAAAGCACATTGTGCGCTGTCTATCTTGCGTGCTGCACAGTATCGTTTAATATTTAGTATCTACTGTTATCTACTGCTAGCTAGTTTATTGTGATGGTGCTGTATTTAATATGTTGCTCTTTTTTGTTTGTTTTCTCTTCTGTTTTTTTTCTCCATACAGGTGATCCGGGTGTTTTGTTTGTTTTTCTTTCTTTCTTCCCCCCTTTCTCACCGTCTCTTCTCCCCTCTGGTTTTCTCTCTCTCCCTCTCTTTCTTTCATTCTTTCTCCCTGTCCTATCCCCCAGTCATGTCTGTCCCGTCTGTAGCAACCAAAAATAAAATAAAATAAATACATAATTATAATAAAGGTCAATCAAATGGACCAATATGGCAAGGCCATGATGATCCACTTGGTGAAGTAAATCCGCTTGGCATCTGTCTTGGCCTTAAGACAACAATTATGAAGGCTAAAGATCCAAACGGGACAAAAAAAAAAGAAAAAGAAAAGTTGTTCATGTGCTATGTGCAGAGGTGTTTTTTTCTGTTCTCAAACTGATCTCCCTGTTGGAGCTCAGTCTGGGGGGAGTTATATTTTCTCCTTATCTTTCCTCATGTGGTGCATTTTCCATTGTTACACCTCTCTGACCTGTCTTCCCCATGTGATTTTTTTGTGTAATGTATGTATGGTCGGAGGGTAAGATGGCGCCGCCATTGCGTGCAATAGGTCGGCAGCCTTAACATGAAATTTCCACTTGTGCGACAAATAAAGGTATCTTATCTTATCTTATAATCGATGTCATATTGATTGGGGTGTGATCCTTAGTAGTCTGCAAAGACTTTATGTGCATTCCAGAGTGTTCTGGCATATACACACACAGCTTAAGGTCATGAGAGAGGTTGTATCTTCTCTCACTGATATATGGTATAGCAAACACATCTACATCTGTTTTAGTATAAGTGCCTTTTGTTTAGATGAACTGCTGGACTTCCAGACCACCAGGATGATCTGTGTGTTTTGCTAATGTGCATGTAGAGGATTCAGCAGAGATAGACAAGTGACATGAGAAAACAAATGAGAGGTGCAGTGTATATGGAATAGTTTAATATGAGGCTCATTAGCTGGCCACTATTGAGCTCATAGTGATAAATGAGTGGAGTGACTTTGCTTAAGGAAAGTCACCGACTACTGTAATATTGATTACACACATGGGATGATCCATGTCTGGGGCGAATTATAGCAATAATTATAATTTAATGATTTGAGAAAACCTGAACATGATACTTGTCTTTGATGCTGAATACTTTATTACTCTTATGATCTACGATTGTTGTACAAGTGTGAAGGCTGATTTCACGTTCAGATCTTGTTTTTCAGGCCATGATGGTGTGTATGTCGGCTCCTGGCGGAGCCAGGTGTTACGCAAACTTAATATGCAAAACACACTAACATCTTTTATTGCAGGATTATAGGTCCGGAGTGGTGCTGCTCCAGAGGAGGAAATGCCCTGATGTTGCCTGGGAAATGACCTAACTAACCCTTTTCTTTAAGACAAGACTCTAGTTTTGATGAGTTGACTTATGGGAGTGTCCATGCGTCAAGAGGAGGGGTCCAGAATTAACATGAAAGTATGTTTTCTATGTCTTATATGATTTTTGCAGTGATTTGTGGGATTAACAGTTCATTTACAGGTATCAAGCCTATGCAAGTGGTGCATCCTTGTTCAGATGAGGCTTTGACTGTAAGTTGCCTATAAGTGAAGTTCACTAAACTAAAGGGAAATGTGGTTTGATGATGGCTGACATGCTTTCCAAATAGAAGTTTTTCCTCCTCCGCAAGAAAATGCAGGTGCAGCAGCCAGAGTATTACTGGGAGAAATCATCCCAAAGGTTGGAATCTCCTGAGAAATCCTCAGAGGCCCACTGAGAAACAAGAACCATTCCAGGCACAGCTGACAGCCCAGGCAGTGGTTGAGGTCACAGGTCGTTTGGGGCTCTACTGGTCATCATGAGATAAGATTCCGGATCAGATTCAAGGACCATGAAGCTGCGTTGGAATGAGAGCTGTGCCATGGGGCATTCCAGAGGCCAACAGAGGAGATTGTGGACAACAGACGGGCACCAGAAGGATGAGGGGAGCATGCCAAACTCCATCGACAGCACAGAGGGAGTCCGAGGATGGCATCATGATCCTGTGAAAAGCACAGGAACCAGAAGCTATGGTGGTGACGGCAGCAATCTCCTATGAACATCACCTAATGCTGTGTCACTGTGCTATACATGCAGTGACACTCTGAAGATGGTCTTCCTTTGTGCCATTATTGTTGTCATTTGCACCATGACCACTTCGACAAGACTGCTGAGGTGACTCAATAGCTGGGATCATAACAGCAATAAGACAACTGGATCCAATACCCTTTCCACAAAGGGGTTTTCTGCAGAGATGGATGGACAGTAGAGGAGTCATAAGTATCCCCCACAGGACCATGCCTGAAGTGAGGTGATGGGGGTTGATAGAGGCCATAAAACAGGAGTGCTGACGAGGCCTGAAGCTTTGAAGATAGCTGAGCCATGTTGACAAGCAACACAACCACCTGGTATGTTTGAATGCTTATTCTACATACATTTGGAATCTGGTCCTATGGACAGTGATATAAACAACTGGAAGAGACATTTATGATGCCCTGCCGAACTCAAACCACTCTGCAGAGAAGATGTGGGATCACCGCAGAACTGGAATGATTTTGAAAATGTTGATTTCGTATTTTGACTATTAACAATTCATTTGCTTACTTGTTGGATGCAGTTTACCATTGAATGAGAGCAATGAGGAATAGGATAACTGCTACTTTTGTCAACTGTGTACTTCTGCAGTAATTTAGGGTGATTAACAGATGCTGAGTATAAAAATCTTTGCAGTGAACCTGTCAGAAATAAGGTGTTCATAACTGAAATTTGTAGCATAAATGTCAAACAGGGCGGAAATGTCAGGTTTATATTGTTTATTATCATTTATGCTTAGAAATATTTACTCATATATGCTTAGAGTTTATAATCGATGTATATTGATAGGGGTCTGATCCTTAGTAGTCTGCAAAGACTTTGTGTGCATTCCAGAGGGTTCTGGCATACACAC